GACCGCTGGAGTGATATTGTTGGCGTGCTGATATTTTTAGTGGCAATATTTATATGCTTATGAAATCACAGGGCTTGGGAGCGTGGGTCTCGTCCTGATTTTTCTTTTATAGAGTTAGGGTCTTCTTTCAACATGTGTCATTGAGGAAAATTCGAATCTGAGATCAGTTCGAAAGTGAGCTGTTAGCAAATTTTAACATTTTCAATTGTTACAGTTTGACAATTTGCACTGTGATTAGAAATGTTCAAAGGTTATTACAGATCATAATACATAATTTGTACATTTCACGAAAGCCTTAATCCAATTTTCCGGAAAAGCCTTGTGGGCCGGATTAAAGGTTTCAGTAGGCCGCATGTAGCCCGCGGGCCGAAGGTTGCCCCATGGGCGCACGCAGAAAACTTTCTAGGGGGGGGGGGCAAAAAAAATTAATTAACTTTCCAGGGGGGGGCAAACAATTTTTAGTAATGTTTTAATATAGTTTTAATTTACTGTAGCGTATTTGTATGGTGAACGAGCGGACAGGACATCAGCTTAGTTACTTTCTCTTTATTTTAATAAATTTTTTTGTCTATTTTTGTCTAACAATTTTTTATCCAATCAATCCAGGGGGGGGGCAAGTGCCCCCCCCCCCGCCTTGCCACTACGTGCGGGCGCCCATGGGTTGCCCACCCTTGAGTTCATCACTCTATAAAAAACCAGACTTTTAGAGGAATCTTGTCTCGTCAGTCCTGAAATACATGTCAAGAATTACAAGAAATGAATCAAAGAAATGAAAGCCAGAACTCCAGTTCAGAAGAGGGTCAATAAGTTAAAGTATCTAAACCTGATGCATACCGAGCCTCGTGCTTACGCAATTCTTCCAAAAGGATACCCCGCCATCCCGTGATGTAATTATGCTAACACAGACAGGTTGGACTAACAATAGGCGTTGACTCACTCACATCGAATTGTCTCTTGTTTTGCAGTGTTCGAGATCTCTTTCTTGGCCCACTTCTCTGGATGAGCGGGGTCGCTGTACGACTTTAAAAAGGGCAGCGTCGAGGGAACGGCGAACAGTAGGACGGCGATCAGCATGGCTACGGCTCCATCTTTAACTCTGTTAAAACATTTTAAAAAAAAACAACACACAAACCATATAATAAGTAGAGTTGGTCTACTTGAAAAAAAAAAAAAGAGTTGAACTCCTCTACAACGCGCCAGCAATAATGCAAATTCTGGTATAACTCGGTCGCGACATGGCTCTCGAAATGTCGTATATTCCTTCACACTGGAATTTTAAACAAAAAAATGAATAATAATAATATTTTTTTAAAATGATTAATTAAATAAATAAATCTAAATACTAAATATATTCTCTTAAAACCCAAACACACATCTTCTAAAACTAGGTCAAACAGTGATTAACAAATTGTTGTTATTATTCAAATTGTTGAAAAGAGGGGGGGGGGGAGGAAG